AATTTAGAGGATTTAGAAGAAAATATTAAAATAAATTTGTAAATATATGTATTTTTATCACTTTTTTATTTGTAGTAAGAAAATATTTAAATATATTAATGGAGATATATTACATTAATACCTCTAAATATTTTGAAAATATAGTTCTCTATTCTAGCCAATCTTTAATATAGTGACATTTGATAGGTGTAACAGATCCTTCATCACTGCATTGTTTTCTTACCTGAAAAATGAAAACTAATTATATTAAATATATATTTCTGAAAAGTATAAAAGCCAAAACCAATACGAGCTCAAAATAGAATGTATTCATATGATAATATAATTATGTTTTTCATGCACTTAAATTATTCCTCAGTATGCTGATTTTTATTTATATTAAAGCTCTCCTTGGCTAAAAATGAATTCAATATTTAATCAAAAACCATTAAAAAAGATAATTATACTATGAATATCTATACTCTTTTAAACTTATATTAATCTTTATTAAATTTTTTTTAAATAGTTTATAGTCATAGAAAAACTAATTATTGATTATTTATTCGATATTTTTATAATAAATATAATGTATGTCTTACTGGGCATAAACCACAAGGGGTTTTAACCAATCCCATTGAGTTTAACAAAGGTTGAACCGCTCTGTATAAATGACTTCCATCATTTGTGAGCGTCCGTTCAACTTTACCATCACAAATTAACGTATTTAAAATCACTTCTATATTAGTTACAGTTAATTTCACCTATAAAAATATCGATTTTTTTTTAGTAACAAATATTGATTTTTTTAGTAACTTTAAACTTTTTAAATAATGTGTAAAAAATACAACCTTACTTATTCCTAAATCCGAAATATATTTCAACACATCCTTAGATGAAACATACGTCATATTTCTTGCAGCAATAGGTCCAGTGTTATAATTTTTTGTCTTTTCTCTTTTTTGCTCCAAAAATCGATAGCATTGTTGATTCAATACATCAACAAATTCTGTTTCAAAATCTTGATCTTGATACCAGGCACCACCTGTTACAGATTCATCTGGTTCTAAATTATACAGCATATACACTTTTTTCTTACTGGCTGCTACAGGTTTAACAACTTTGATATACTTATTAGTTTCTAGACTTTTCAAAATTTTTTCTAATGGTTTATTCATCAAATTAGATTTAATTTTTATATCTCGAATCCATATTCCCTTATTTCCTGCTTCTTCAATAATTTTATATACTATTTTTTCTTCATTGTCAGTGCACTTAGCAAGTTTTGTTGGATCTTTCAAACGATAATACAATGAGTTTGCTTGCTTAAAAAGCTCAAAGTACCCTTGAGATAGAAGTTTATTTATAATTTTAGCTCGTTGAGCTGGTTGTAAATCAGGTATCGAAGCAGCTAAATCTTTGTCCGAAATACCTTTAGGTTTTTCTCGTGCAAGAGCAATTATTCTGTAAGAAAAGAAATGAAATACATATTGGGTTGTCCGGAAAGTTCGTACCGATGTTAAAGGAAAATTGAAACGCAGAAAATTTTAATTTAATAGATGTATACTAAAATTTAAATTTTAGTTGGCACGAACTTTCTGGACAACCAATAAATGCTGATAATCCCAATAAATAAATCCCCCAATAGATCCCCAATAAAGCGATAAATTTAATAATAAAATTTAATAATAAATTTA